TCCTTATTCACTTTCTCCACACCACTCGTGATTTTATAGACCTCTATCATATCCCCCCTTAGTCTCCTCTCTTCCAAACTGAAAAGTCCCAGTCTCTTTAATCTCTCCGGGTATGTCTACACTACCCTCCTAGTTGGAACTAGCGGGGTAATGTAGGCATACCGCACTTGGAAATGAAGCCCGGGATTTGAATTTCCCGGGCTTCATTTGCATAAGCGGGGCTCTGCCATTTTTAAATCCCCGCTCGTTCGAACCCTGTGCCGCGCGACTACACGCGGCACGAACTAGGTAGTTCGAACTAGGCTTCCTATTCCGAACTACCGTTACTCCTCATTCCACGAGGAAATTCAAATCCCGGGCTTCATTAGCAAGTGCCGTATGCCTACATTACCCCGCTAGTTCGAACTAGCGGGGTAGTGTAGACATACCCTCCTGTTCCAAACCCCTCATCATTTTAGTTGCCCTTCTCTGAACCTTTTCCAGTGCCAATATAACTTTTTTGAGATGAGACCACATCTGTACACAGTATTCAAGATGTGGGCGTACCATGGATTTATATAAGGACAATAAAATATTCTCTGTCTTATTCTCTATCCCTTTTTTAATGATTCCTAACATCCTGTTTGCTTTTTTGACTGCCGCTGCACACTGCATGGACGTCTTCAGAGAACTACCCACAATAACTCCAAGATCTCTTTCCTGATTAGTTGTAGCTAAATTAGCCCCCTATACTATTGTATATATAGTTGGGGTGTGGGAACGGGGGAAGCTCGCGAGGGCCAGGGCCTGCATGCTCACCCCCTGACCCGGGGGCTCGGTGGGCAGGCGAGCTGACGTGCCCCAGTCTTTCTCCCCTGCGGTGCATGCCCGGTGCAGATAATCACAGGGCACCAAACAGCCCGACCAGACCGGCCGTTTACCCACCTGGCAGGTTGGAAAGCCAGGAATTGTGGGCAGCTGTGAACGTGGCCCCCATCACCCGTAAGCCCCTTCTTCAGGGTTCTCCATAACTGCCCTGAGAAGCCTGACACCAGGACCAGCTCCCTGGACTGGCCCCTCGGCACAGGGCCTGCCCCCATGCTAGGAGCCCAGGAGGGGAGCAGTTCAGTGAGGCAGGGCTCACCTGCTCCAGCCAGCATGGCATGGGCTGTGGGGCTTGCTCTGACTGTGCTCGCTCCAGGGACCCAGCTCCTCCTGCCAGCCGAGCTGTGGGGCCCTGGCCCTCCCTCTGCTGCGGGACGTACCATTCGGTGTTGTTCACGGCATCCCCGAAGCCCGGAGTGTCCACGATGGTCAGACGCAGCTTCACCCCCTTCTCCTCGATGTCCACCACATGCTTGGTGATCTCCACCGTCTGCGTGATGCGCTCTGGAAGGGCAGCACAGGCGGCAGGTGGGTCGCCTGCCCCCCGCCGCTCCAGAGCAGTACCCAGGGGAGCTACACACAGGCCGGCAGGGGCTGAGCCGGGCCCCGGGGGTGGGCCGGCTGCCCCCCGCCGCTCCAGACCAGTACCCAGGGGAGCTACACACAGGCCGGCAGGGGCTGAGCCGGGACCCTGGGGTGGGTCGGCTGCCCCCCGCCGCTCCAGACCAGTACCCAGGGGAGCTACACACAGGCCGGCAGGGGCTGAGCTGGGACCCTGGGGGGGGGCGGCTGCCCCCCCCCGCGCCGCCGCTCCAGAGCAGTACTCAGGGGAGCTACTCACAGGCCGGGAGGGGCTGAGCTGGGACCCTGGGGTGGGTCGGCTGCCCCCTGCCGCTCCAGAGCAGTACTCAGGGGAGCTACTCACAGGCCGGGAGGGGCTGAGCTGGGACCCTGGGGTGGGTCGGCTGCCCCCTGCCGCTCCAGAGCAGTACTCAGGGGAGCTACTCACAGGCCGGGAGGGGCTGAGCTGGGACCCTGGGGTGGGTCGGCTGCCCCGCAGCTCCAGAGCAGTACTCAGGGGAGCTACTCACAGGCCAGCAGGGCCGAGACCCTGGGGTCCGCTGCCCCTTGCTAGCAGAGGCCCAGAGCCAGGTACCAGAGAGCACAGGCATGGCCTGGGGGCAATGCACAGCTACACCTGCAGGGCCCATCTGCTCCGCAGCACAGGGACAGGGCTGTGGGGGCAGACCACGGCCTGGCCTCTTCGGAGCCTCCTCCCCCGCTCTGAGGCGTTCAGAGGGGACAGCCCTCGTGTCCGCAGCCCGCTTGCCTGGGGCTGGCCCTCGTTCAGGGCACAAGAGCCAGGGTGACAGAGCTCTTGGCTCCGCTCCCCCACCACACGCCTGTCCTGGGACTTGGCCCTGCTTGCTCCGTGGGGGGTGACGCCCGGGGGCAGGGGATGGTGGGGCGAAGCTCCCCGGGAGCAGCTGGGCAGGGCTGCGGGAAGGGAGGGATGGGCTCAGGCCCGTGGGTGGTTGCCAGGGGAGTCCGGGCCCCTGGCACGGGCGAGGCAGGGCCAGCAGGCCGAGCGGCTCACAGCCAGGCCCTGGGGCGGTGCCCACTGGGACAGAGCCAGCGGGAGCCAGGGCGCAGGGGCAGCGGCTGACAGCCAGGGAAGGAGAGGAGAGGAGAGGGGGAAGGGCGGCCCTGCGGGGAGCCTGGGACAGGGGGGGGGCCGCTTTCCTCCCCCCTTTGCAGCTGGGGGCACAGAGCCCTGGCATGGTGGGAGAAAGGTGGAGCCTGTGAAATGGAGGGGGCAGGGCGGCACTTGGGGACGGGGAAGCAGGGATGCCAGGGTGCATGCAGTGAGCTCAGCTGTGCACGCCCCTCCCCCCGGGCCCTCCCTGGCCTGCACAGCACCTAGGCCCTGATTTGCTCCAGGTTCCACAGTGACTGTCCCAGCCAAGCAGCTGCAGGCCAGGGGCCCTGCAGGGCACATGCATCAGGCTGGAACTAGCAGCATCAATGCAGCCCAGCGGCACGGCCACGCCCTCCTGCGGTGGGTGAGACGCAACCTTCCCGGCGGTTCCAGGCACATCCAGCCGGCCTGAGGCGCACAGCTGCCAACTCGCAGGGATCGCAAACGAGCCCACACGCCTTCTCAGGACGCCAGCGCCAGTCTCCATTTTACAGCTGGGGAAACTGAGGCACGGAGCTGAAGCGATTTGTCCAAGGACACCCAGCTTGCCAGTGGCGGAGCCAGGAAAAGATGCCAGGTCTTGCTCCCCCTGGTAGCCTGAGGAGCAAGGCCCAACGAGTGCACCACGCCCTGCTTCGCCCTGGCCCGCGGGCAGCTCCCGGGCCTGCTGCTGGCAGGGGGTGAAGTGCCCCTGCGTGAGGACTCCCACTAACTGCACAAGGCCGCTGGCACTGCCGGATGCAACCCGCGACCCGGGTCTCCAGGCTCGTGCCCTGCTGGCCCCACAGGGCTACTCCGGCCTCTCTCTGCTGCAGGGCCGGTGCCAGGGCTGATCCGCGGCCCAGCTCGCGGGGAAAGAGACTCGAATGTTGGCAGCCGGCTCAAGCCGAGCCCCAGACTCTGCGCTCGGACCGAGGCGCCAGACAGGACCAGACCAGAGGCCTGGAGCTCCCGCCGATGACTGGCCAGGCCCAGCTCCCCAGCATACGGGGGGGGGGGAGTCGGGCCCTCCCTGCTCCAACCCCTCCAGAGCCTGCTGGAGGAGGCGGCTCGTGCTCCCCCAAAGCAGGACGCCCACCTTAGGAAGCTGCTCTCGGGCAGCGGGTGCCCGGCTTGGGCAAGAGCCCGCCCCCCCCGGGGCACCTGGCGGGGAAGCGCTGCACCAGCCCAGAGCCGCGAGGGCAGGCGGCACCAGGCCCGGCCAGCCCAGAGCTGCAGGGGGCCTAGGACTCGCTCAGCCACCGTGGGCCTCCGGGACTTGCCCAGCCCCGATTTATGGGGATCCACGCAAGTTTCCTGCGGGGACACAGAGGAAAGGGGGGCCGCCGCTCCCCCAGCATGGCTTCCCGCTGCACCTTCTGCCAGGGCTCGTGTGCCCCCTGCGGCCCCTCCCTGCGCAGGGGCCTTCCCAGGGGCCAGCGCAGACCTGCAGAGGCTGGGAGGAGGTGCCCTGAGTTAGCGCAGCAGCCAGGGCATGAGGGGACAGCGACGTTCAGGGCGTCCTTAGGCAAACAAGCACAGGCAGCTGCGCTGGGGCCCTGGGCTGCACTGCCAGCCCAAGGAGAGTTTCTCAAACTGCTTCATGGGGAGCGTGAGCCCAGAGGCAGAGGTCAGAGCTGCCCCTGTGGCGCGTCCAGCTGGCCGAAGTGCAGGGGCTACCGCTGATCGCCCACGGAGGAGTCGCTACCCAGCAACGTTCAGCCCGAGGCGCTTGCGACTGTCTGGTACAACTGGGTCTGGTTTGCTCCCTGGCTGGCCGGGGACATTTGCGCCCAGGTCACCCGTCAGGAAAACTGTCGGAAACTGACTAGGCTCCGGCCTGTCCCCTCTGCTGGGCGGCCACAGGTCTGGGCCTGGGCTATGCAGGCTGGGGCCCTGCACAGAGGCCCGGGCTGTTCTGGCCAGCTGGAAGCTGGCCAGAGCCCTCGCGGATCTTTCTCAAAGCCAGAGTG